AGCTATTTGTAAGGCCTCCTCAGACAGCCATTTTGCTTTTTTGCATTTCTTTTTCTTGGGGATGGTCTTGATCCCTGTCTCCTGTACAATGTCATGAACCTTCGTCCATAGTTCATCAGGCACTCTATCAGCTCTAGTCCCTTAAGTCTTTTTCTCACTTCCACTGTATAGTCATAAGGGATTTGATTTAGGTCATACCTGAATGGTCTCATGGTTTTCTCCACTTTCTTCAATTTCAGCCTAAATTTGGCAATAAGAAGTTCATGATCTGAGCTATAGTCAGCTCCTGGTCTTGTTTTTGCTGACTGTATAGAGCTTCTCCAACTTTGGCTGCAAAGAATATAATCAATCTGATTTTGTATGATTTCTTGGCTTATCCATATTTTTGCACATGGCATTATTCTCTTCTTTGAATGGCTGAGTAATATTCCATTGTGTATATATACACCACATCTTCTTTATCCATTCATCTATCAATGCACATTTATGTTGCTTCTGTGTGTTGGCTTTTGTGAATAGTGCTGCTATGAACATAGGGGTGCATGGATGTTTTCAAATTGTAGTTTTGAAGAGGAGTGCTTTAGGTAAGGGGCTTCCCTGATAGCTCAGCTGGTAAAGAATCCACCTGCAATGTGGGAGATGTGGATTCAATCCCTGGGTTGGGAAGATCCCCTGGTGAAGGGAATGGGTACCCACTGCAGTATTCAGGCCTGGAGAATCCCATGGACTGTATAGTCCATGGGGTCACAAACGGTAAGTGCAGCATGGCCTGTCTGCGTAGGTGCTGACTGGACTGAGGGACAAAGACTGGGAGTGAGGCAGCTTCCGAGGTTTGGGTGGAGAGTTCCAGAGAGACTGGACAGAAAGTGCATATGCACTGTGGCAAGAGGAGCAGCCGGAAGTCCGGCAGGGCTGGCGGACGTGCTGAGGGAGTGATGCTGGAGCTGGCTCAGGATACTGCAGGGTTTCCCGGGTCGCATTAAAAGGAGAATGTGCACATGCGTGGACAGTGACATAGGGCCGCATTAGAATTCCTGCTGTTAAAAGGACGGTGAGTTTCCTGAAGGCAAACCTATGCCTCATTTCACTCCGGATGCTAAGCTCCTAAGCCACCTGCCATCGAGTAGGTCCTCGGTAAGGTGTGTCGAATGACTGAACAAAGAGACACGTGAATAAATGGACGCGAGAACGAATGACTGAGGCCTTCTGCTTCCGCTAAGGCAGTTTTCCCTCTGAGGTTTCCTGCCCCTTGTCCCCACCCAACAGCAGTTCTTTTTCTTCTTCTTCGTAATAGCGTATGGCCGGAGCCATTCTCTGTGATTCAATATTTACCGTGTTTCACACACTGTTATTATCATTTAGCGTTTGCTATCTGCTGACTGTGCACTCATCGCCATAGCAAGCAAAGAGCTCAATCTAGTTTTGCTCCTTGGGCTAATTCAGTCAAGGAAAAGGAAGGTGCTGTAAGAACTGGCACAGTAGAAATTGATGTGGACTGGCAGTCCACTCATCCAGCTGGGTACCAGCTCGCCAGTGACCTTAAACCAGTGCCTAAGCCCGTGTGACCCTCCGTGTTCTAATCTGAACACGGGGATGGCAAGCTGCTTCAGTGATGGGCTTTCAGGCACAGGCCGGACGAGCCCCAGGAGTAATAGGCGCAGATTTCAGCAAGCCTCCCCCCCCGCCGCAACCAGCCTCCGCCCCCTTCTGAACCCGCCTGTGTCCGCCCGATGCAGCTGCCCCCGGGGCTCTCTGCCCATGCCACTTCAGGGACTCTGAGCGCAGTCAGTGCCCGCCCTGCCAGCGGCACGCAGATCCTCTTTCTTGAGCTGCTTAATGAGAGGCAACAATTTCCAGAGGCAAACCCCGGTCCCTGGGTTCCCTGGACATCTGGTTCTGGCTCTGATGCACCGAGAGAAAAATGAGCAAGGCACCAAACAAAGCCATTCACCATCGTGTCTTCACGTTGCCCTGGCCCAGCTGGCCGGCTGCCAGAGAAGCTGCTGCCAAGTCCACGGGTGTGGAGGCTGGCAGCGGGGAGAGGAGGTGCTGGGGAGAGACCTGCCTCATAGACGGGGCGCTGTGCCGCCAGTCTGCTCCCCGGGGCCGCACAGCGAGCTCTGGGGTCCTTCGGTTCTCAGTCGGGATGCATTCCCTGGACCGTCTCCAGGCCTGCTCCACTCTGCACGCAGCAGGGGATCCCCAGGCAGGTTTTCCCTTGGATGAGTAACTCACTCTGTATCGGCCGCTTTGCCCTTGCTTTGGGATGAGGTGGGAGGCTGTTGGTTTAGAGTGGACGAGCGCTGACTCAGGCAGTGGCAGGATTCCTCTGGCTTCTGGTTGAGAATAGGCAGGCCCAGGGTGGAAGAAGAGAGTCAAGTCAAGAGTCCCTTGCAGGACTTCCACAGTGGTCCAGTGGTCGAGCATCTGCGTGCCGATGCAGAGGGGACACCGGTTCGATCCTTGGTCCGGGAAGATCCCACGTGCTGTGGGGCAGCTACGTCCTTACGCTGCAACTACTGAAGCACATGTGCTCTAGAGCCCATGCCCTGCAACGGGAGAAGCCGCTTCAGTAGGGAACCTGCACCCCGCAATGTGAGCGTGAACCCTGCTCGCCGCAAGTGGAGAAAGCCCGCCCATAGCAACATGGCCCCAGTGCAGCCAAAAATATACAAATGAACAAACTTTTTTTTTTTTTAAAGAAAAGAAGCCCTTGCAGTAAGTCAGGCAAGAAAGGAGGCTGTCTGGGCTCAGGTGGTGCAGAGCAGCTGAGAAGTGCTGCGTTTCCGGTGCCTTTTGAAAGATTTCCTGATGGGCTGGATGAGGGGTGGGAGAGAAAGCAGGCAATCAAGAATGTCTCGAGTATTTTTTTTTTATAAGCAGCTGAAGGGTGAATTAGATCCTGTCCCTATTAATAATAATAATGATAATAAATATTAATAGCTAACTTTTTATAGCACTTATTAAGTGGCAGATGCTCTTCCCCTGACTTTTGATTGTGAACCTGAAGGAGTTAGAGTCTATGGGGGGAGGTGGACGATACAGGAATAAATCAGTAGCATTTGGTGAAGAGATATCATCGTCTCATTGCTTCAAGGTGACTGCTTTTAGTTCAGTGTGACTAGATGGGGGCTGCCGTGGGCCTGGGGAGAGCTGGCTAGATAAGAAGGTCTAACACATCTTCCTCAGCAGCCCTCCTCAAGTTCACATGTGTGTGTGTGAACAGGAAGCCTTGGGGGACTAGGGGAATACTGTCTCTAGGCCTGCTCCATAGCTGGGTCCAGAAGTCCAAGCCTCATACACTATTAAGGCTACTAGTTTGTGGATGGATGGATTGCTTCTGTTCCCTACAGTAACTGATTTGAAGAAAGATCTAGTAATTCTCCAAGAACCCCATCACCCTTCCCCTCTATTCACAGGACATGCTGATTGGCCTTGTCCTTCAAAATATTTTCAGGGACATCTCCCTTTAGTAGACAGCACGATGAGAGTATTGTAGATTCCAAAGAAAGAACGCTTTTGGTACCATATGTCCTTGCCCTTCTTAACAAGAAGCTATGTTGGTATAATTGCATTGAATGGAAGTACTGCTGAAGTGATATTTCTTATTTTTAAAGCATCTTCAGAGGGAAAAACAGCATAGAGGCAAGAGTTAGGAAGTTCAAGTTAGGTGACCTTACAATTGACTAGGAAGTCCTAACTTCCCGTTGGTTATAGGAGATCCCTGGAGTGGGGAAGAGGGTTTTCAAGTATTTTTCAGCCATGGAAACCTTTGTCAGGACTTCCTTGCTTGAGAGTACTATATGCACACCATGAGGAGGGGAATGGAGCTGCTCTGACTGCCGCAGGAGAAATGGCTCAGAACAATCCACTTGCCAAGCTCCTTTCCCGTAGAGGATGATCCTGAGCCCCTCAGCTGGGCCAGATGTTCTTTTGGGCCTTTCCAGCTCTGTGGTTCTGCATTTCTGCCATGAGCATTTCCAGCTGAACTTCTAAAGAGTTCACACTCTGAGCGCCCCCTTCTTCCCATTCAAAGGTCCTTCCTTCACCTGCTTTAGTTCCATGGTCTCAGAAGGACGTGCGCACCTTCTTCACCTCTTGCTTAGCTTGTTTCCATCTTTGGAGTGGAGTGAGTTCCCCTATCATGCACGGTGCTATCGAAAGGGCGCCAGGCAGACCTGGGTTCAAATCCTGCTTCTGCCACTCTGCTGTTCTGGGATAACCTTGCTACAAGCTGACTCACCTGTAAATGAAAGTGACAATCTCTGGCTCATGGATTTTTTAAAATTTTTTTTTCCTTTATATTGGTGTATAGCCAGTTAACCATATTGTGAGTTTCAGGTGCAAAGCAGAGTGACTCTGGTGTATAGATTTGATGCTGGGAAAGGCATCCGGCACAGAGTAGATGTCTTTGGAGCTCCCAAATGCGTGTTTCTCCTCTTCTGCCCAGCGTGCCGAGGCCTGGCCTGCCGCTCACCCAGCGTCTTGGCTCTTGTCTTGCAGAGATGTCGGGCACAGCTGCGGACATCTCGCTGGTCCACTGGCGGCAGCAGTGGCTGGAGAACGGCACCCTGTACTTCCACGTGTCCATGAGCAGCTCCGGGCAGCTGGCCCAGGCCACCGCCCCCACCCTCCAGGAGCCCTCGGAGATCGTAGAGGAGCAGATGCATATTCTCCACATTTCTGTGATGGTGAGTGAGTGGGAACTCAGGAGGGGGCTTCAGGGAGTAGGGGCGGGGAGGTGATGGGGAGGGCAAGGTGGGGAGCCCATGGCAGGAGGCAAGGGATTGCCAATAGGTGGAGGGAAGGATCTGGCTGAGTACGGGAGGTCAGAATGATAAACAGAAGGTCAGATGGATTCTGCGGTGTCACTTGGACTGATGTATACTCGTCCATCATCTGTCAGCTGTGACAAGCTAATTGTGCTTCAGAGGAGAAAATAAAGGGTCTCCAACTCCTTGGCCTTTTGGCCGACATCTCTGGGAATAGCTGTTTAACATCTGTCATGTGCTCGGCCTGCTTGGCTGAGGGCTGAGGTTCAGTGCTCTAGCGCAACTGGCCTTTCCAAGAAAGACTGAGCAAACAAAATTGGAGTGGGGCTGCCCTTTCCCAAGCACCCTTGATGTATTTTAACCCTCAAAACACACTCTTCAGTGTAGACCGTGCATGGTGGCCCCCGGAGCTGAACTCTGCATAGCCAGGGCTGTTACACACCATCCCCCCGCCCGGCCCCATTGCCCGCACTCACATTTGTGAGTACTGAGTCAGAGGGCAGAGAAACTTACCCAAAGTCACACAGCTAGGAAGAGATGAGCTGCTCTTGGGTATTGAACCCAAGTGTGACGTGTCTGGCTATAAAAACTGAACTCTTCTCTACACTCCTTTTTTCCTTGTTTTTTTACACTCCTTTTTTCAATGCAAGTATTTGTTGACCATGTGTCAAGCTCTGCACCGGGCACATTCATGGGCATTATTTCATTGCATTCTCCCCAAGAAGTCAGGCATGCCACCTCCATGCTAGAGATGAAGTTATGAACACAGAGAAGTGAAGTGGCCTCCCATGTCTGTTGGCCCCAGGATCTGGAACTCTGAGGCTGCTGCCTCCTTAAAGAAGGATGCTAGGGCAGAAATCACAGGAATGGTAAGTCTGCGATGTATGTAGACTCACATTAACGATGGATTTGAAAAGCTGTAATTAATGGCTTTGTACAGTAATTTGAAAAAAAAATCAAAGTGAAGAATGCTACAGGGTCTAACTGGCTCCAGGAAAGATCAGATAATAGCGACAACTGACATCAGTCTGGTGCTTCTCACTCCTCAAGCCACTTGTACATTATTTTCTCCTTTTTACCTTTAGCACAGATGCACAAGTGTAGGAAATGTTATTCCCAGCCTACATGTAAGGAAGGTAGGGCTCAGAGAGGTGCAGTGATTGGCCTAAGGTCACTCAGCAGAATGGGGCCATGAGCCAGCCCTTCCCTTCTGCCTTTCATTTGGTCGTCAGTAGTACTTACCTAGAGCCTGCAATGAAGCAGACCTGGCCTTTTGGTCTCTGCGCTCCGGGTCCCTCTTCAACCCTTGCTGTGCCTGAGAAGTTTCATTAGGGCTGAGTAAGTGCTTGGAAGTTTTCTCTTTTTAGAAAAACACGCACATACCGCAGCCAGACAGCCACGTTAAATTTGGACCTAACGCATGCTCATCACGTGGAGGAACAAATCAAGGCCTTTGTGTTATTCATGGAATGAGTGTGATAGACTTTTCCCATTTTTATATTTAGCGAGTGTTGCAGCCACACACCAAGCCAAGTGGGTGCCTGCATGCTGACTCCGGGTTGCAAGTTTGTAGGCACTTCTCGGGGTGCTTGCTGAGTACCTCGTGTGGCTTGGGGTGCCATCTGATGTGGAGAAGACTGACTGGACAGGGTGTGAGTCTTCTTTGAATGTCTGGGGGTGAGACTTGGTTTGGATTCACATTTATTGAGCATTTTCTGTTTCAGTATGCATCTACTCACCTACATCCTCCCCTAACCCAGGGAATTTGACAGAATTATATCAGTGATAATACTAGTCCTGCATGGACTTTCTCTGCTTCCACACCCAATGTTAATGATGCTAAATCAGACCTCTCCCCAAAGACTGTCAGTGATTCTCAGTTTTGTTTTGTTTTTTTTTTTTCTGCTCAGTGAGTTTAGCTTGGAAAGAATTCACCACGACCCAAAATGTCTCTTGCATTTCCCTGTAATCCAGGATGTGGCTGGCAGAGTAGGTTGTGCAGAGGTTGGCACCCTCCAGACCCTCCCTGCCTGCTAGCTGGCGTGGCCTAAGCCTTCCACCCTGTGGTCCCACCAGTTCTTTACCCCTTCAGGGCTCCAATATCTTGATTTTTCCTCATCCTTACCTTACCCCGCAGCAGACAGAGTCAGACCCAGGAACACAGTGGCCTTCTTGGCATCCGTTGATGGCAGCCCAGCCTCTCAGAGTGGGGATGTCCTCAGAGACCCCTGCCCTCTATCTAGAGGGAGGTGACATGCATTCGTACCTGAGCTCCAGTGGCTGGGTGTAAAGTTCCACTCTGGGAACACTCCGGGTGATGTTGGGCAACGTATTTAACCCTTCTGTGCCATGCTTTTTCATCTATAAAAATGAGGGTTCTGCTAATGCTGTGTAACAGAGCACCCGTGTCAGAGGAACCTGGCATGTAAGGGCATTAGCTTTTATCATTTAATACACTTTTATTATCTGCGCTTGCCAGGCAGTGCTAGCGGTAAAGAACCTGCCTGCCAGTGCAGGAGACCTAAGAGACTTGGGTTCGATCCCTGAGTCGGGAAGATCCCCTGGAGGAGGGCATGGCAACCCACTCCAGTATTCTTGCGTGGAGAATCCCATGGACTGTAGGCTTGGTGGGCTACAGTACATGGGGTCGTAAAGAGTCGGACACAACTAAAGCAACTTAGCACACACACACACACTTTTATTATGGAGGCAAGCTGATATATTATACCCATTCATTTCACAGATGGATAAACTGAGGTCCAGATACAACCTAGGACTCCCCACCCAGGCATCTCAGACTCTGTGGCTCAGATTCTGTCCTTGCCATTCTGGTCACAGGTAATTCAGCAAAAACAAAAAGCAGTGTCTGCTTCTTCCCACTCGCACCTTCCCAATCTTTTTAATTAAAAAAAAAAGAATTTTTTTTTAATTAAAAAATTTTAAAATCCCGAACATTTAAAATGGCATTCATGGGACTTCCCTGGTGGTCAAATGGTTAAGACTCCCTGCCTCCAGCAGGGGGTCGGTGTTAGATTCCTCATGCCCCAGCTAAGATTTCTGCTGGAAATAAAGATACCACATGCCTCAACAAAGATGGGGGTCGTGCAGGCTGCAATTAAAACCCAGCACAACTTAATAAATAAATGAGTGAGTGAGCGAGTGAATAAATAAATAAAAATGACATTCATGGTGACTGGGATCGGCCTTCCCATTTCACAGATGAAAAGTTTTGAGACTGAGTTCCTTTGACTTGCCTAAGGCTGAAAGTGAAAAGTGAAAGTTAGTTACTTAGTCGTGTCCGATTCTTTGTGACCCCGTGGACTGTAGCCCACCAGGCTCATCTATGGAACTCTCCAGGCAAGAATATTGGAGTGTGTTACCATTCATTCTCCAGGGGATCTTTCCTACCCAGGGATCAAACCCAGGTCTCCCGCTGGCTAATAAGAAAGCTCTGTTGGGCCCAAGATTTTCCAAGGTTCCAAGCTCACGTTACAGGGCTGTTCAGGACACTGTGACTCTCCCTCTGTCAAACTCTGCACTGTCATTATCTCCAGTGAAGATCTGAGATGGTTTGGGAGAAGACCAAACCATCCAGTCACATCTCGGAGAAATCTGGTGGTCTGGGTCAGTGTTTTTCCTCCACTTACCTCGGCATAAATATCCTGCCCACACATGCGGAGCAACCGGCTCCAGCTCAGTCACTGGAACCTGTGACAATCCATGCCTGCCGGAGTGGAACCAGCATGCCCTTTCCGGCTTGTTGAGCATCTGCTTTATCCCAGAAGGTTGCATCATCTGACTATTAATATCCCAAGGGTCAGGCAATAAGGAGGTACTTGGTGATCGCCTGGGCAGAGGAAGAGTGTAGGGGGTCATTCATCTAGTCGGTGGCTTTAGCTTCAGCTGCCCTGGACAGTCACAGGGCTTCCTCGGTCGTGCAGGGGGCCACGATGGATGCAGAGAACAGAGCGGAGGTTTGGAAGACACCGTCTTTCTTGCTTCCTGCTTCCTGATGGTTTTACTCTGGGGACTCCCCTCTCCTCTTTGAGCCTCAGTTTCTTTATAAAACAACTGATCCTACCAGTCTCTCAGGATGAATGAGAAGAGCGTAAGAAACATATATAAATAGTACCCAATATCCATCTGGCACATGGTAGGCACACAGTGATATGGTTACTACTATTACCATTGCAACAAGGTTTAAATACTCTAATGTAGGGCAAGAGATGTTGGATTTACTCTTGTTTTTTCTGCTATCTTGCTCTCTGATCTAGAGAAATATTCACAATACCTGACATTTATTGAGAACTTACCATATACCAGATAGTGTTCCAAATTTTGACTTACATGCATTATTAAATTTAATCCTCACAATATATCTTAAGGTGGACACTGTTATTATGTTTATTTCATAGATGTGGCTCCTGAACTGTTAATACTTATCGATAGTTACCAGTGTGAGCTGGTCAAGGTTAAATGGCAAAGCCAATATTTCATTTGTAGAGGTGGGTCCTCTGCCCTTAATCTGTAGACCATCATCTCTCTTCTCTCTGCATTAGTTGCTGACTTAAAAGATAAAATATTATGGACAAATTCATGCATAGATCCCCACCTTATTTGGAATCTGTGAGCATGTTGTTAAGAGGGGTTATGACTTGGGTGTCAACGCCAAGGTTAAACAGTTATCTCCTTATGGCCTTGGCCACGTCAAACTCATCATCTGTAAAACTGGGGTAACATTTTCTAATTCTTAGATTTTTTTTCAAAGTACTGAATAAGGTCATACATGCAAAGGTCCTGCATAATAGAAATAATGGCTACCCTCACTGAGGGCTTGTAAAGGACCAAACTTTCAAAGTTTGATGTCAGGCGCAATGTAGTAACACATGCTTCGTTCCAATGAATTGTTCTGGCTCCTG